TGAACCGCAATACGCCCCTTTCACACCCAAGTCCCACTGCTTCGACTGGGATAGCGTCAGTTTAAACCCCAAGTCAAACCGGGACCCTGACCCAAATGGGAGACCTGGGTTTTTTACTTAGACACCAGATTGGGGGATTCAAACGAAAGCTCGTTCTGGTTTCTCCCGCAGCTCCGCCCCGAATTGGTCGGCATTCTGCAGCGCCCTCACCCGGGATTCTTACTTGTCTAATTTTTCTTCCGCGTGGATTATAGCGTCAGTTTAAACCCCAAGTCAAACCGGGACCCTGACCCAAATGGGAGACCTGGGTTTTTTACTTAGACACCAGATTGGGGGATTCAAACGAAAGCTCGTTCTGGTTTCTCCCGCAGCTCCGCCCCGAATTGGTCGGCATTCTGCAGCGCCCTCACCCGGGATTCTTACTTGTCTAATTTTTCTTCCGCGTGGATTTTCAGGGCTTGGTATCGCTGCTCTTCCTGTCTGACTCGGGCCAAGTAATCCTGAGCACATTTCTTCAAAGCTTCTTCGTTCTGGACAACGAGAGTGCAAAGTCAGGGGGACGCTCTGGGAATGCAGCGAGCACATCGCTCTGCGCTGATGCGAACTGCAAAACCGCCTCCCAGCTGGAAATCCCAAAGCATTTGTATCCGTTCGGCAGGCTGCTCATTTGTGCTGAGGCCTTTTCCCACCTCTCCGGTAATGCAGGCAGGAGTCGGACCCGCTGTCTGCCTTGGCTCCAGCTTTTTGCATGGGCCGCTCAGCCGCGCTGACGGTTTGCTGCTTCCAGAGGACTGGGAGAACGTGACTGTAAAATCTATCAAGAGGAACCAGCTCTGTGCTGAGAGCAGCCCCGGCAGCGCCCATCACTGAGCTCCTGTGACATTGATCGTCCCCACAGCCAGGTACTCTGCTCACTCATCACAAACCGCAAGCCCAGAAACATCCTTCTGCTAAGGGCTAGGAGCAGAGCCAGCCAATGGTTGGACTGAAACTTGGTTTTGGTGAAAAAAAAAAAAAGGAAGATTGGGCGACATTCAACCAATCTGCAAATGTGGGTCCATTTTGCCAGGTTGTTTCAAATGAAAAAAAAAATCAAGATAAATAAAACATTTAATTTCAACACTTGCTGAATAAAACAGCCTGATGGGTTTTATTTAGGGTGGCTTTTACCTTAGAAATGTCCTTTAATTTTATTTTTAAAATGCTCCCTATCAAACCGTGGTGTTCAACCTGAAACCATTTTTTTGCGTTCTGATTTGCTAAAAATTTCAAACATTTTCATTTTCAGTCTAAGCTGAAACAATTTCCCCTCTTCTTCCCCTCCCCCCAATATCTTGGACTTGCCAGTGTATTGAGAAATCTGTTATTGGCCCGAATTTGCTGAGGAGCCTGTTTCAAAGGGGCGTCGGAGAGTTCAAGTGATTGGAACAGTATTACAAGAAGCAGTGATATTGTGCGTGTAGCTGTAGAGGCCCCTGCGCTAAGGTCCCAGGTTCGAACGCGCCTGCCGGCGGTTACACTTCTATACCCCGTTAACCAGAAAGCACAGGCAGGGCATCAGATAGACAGCACAGCAGACACAACAAGGAAGAGGAAAGCAAGTCTCCTGAGAGAGTAAAGGACCTTCTTGAACCCTTCCAGAACGCCCTTCAGGTTCTCGTATCTCCTAAACAGATCCGACAGGGACCTTTCTACGGAGTTCAGGTCTGCCAGGGCCTGTTCCTTCTCCGCTGTGAGCTGCTGGAGACTCTTCTGGGAGGCCATGCTTGTCCTCTGCTCATCTTCTGTCAAGTAGGAGCAAATTATATTTAGGTCAAACCTCTTCTGCTGAAGTGGGCAACGGACCAGGGGTTGTTGCTGCGGGACGGGCCCGGCTTGGATTGGCCCACGGGTCACTGCCACGGGACGGGCCCAGCTTGGACTGGCCCACGGGTCACTGCCACGGGACGGGCCCAGCTTGGACTGGCCCACGGGTCACTGCCACGGGACGGGCCCAGCTTGGACTGGCCCACGGGTCACTGCCACGGGACGGGCCCAGCTTGGACTGGCCCACGGGTCACTGCCACGGGACGGGCCCAGCTTGGACTGGCCCACGGGTCACTGCCACGGGACGGGCCCAGCTTGGACTGGCCCACGGGTCACTGCCACGGGACGGGCCCAGCTTGGACTGGCCCACGGGTCACTGCCACGGGACGGGCCCAGCTTGGACTGGCCCACGGGTCACTGCCACGGGACGGGCCCAGCTTGGACTGGCCCACGGGTCACTGCCACGGGACGGGCCCAGCTTGGACTGGCCCACGGGTCACTGCCACGGGACGGGCCCAGCTTGGACTGGCCCACGGGTCACTGCCACGGGACGGGCCCAGCTTGGACTGGCCCACGGGTCACTGCCACGGGACGGGCCCAGCTTGGACTGGCCCACGGGTCACTGCCACGGGACGGGCCCAGCTTGGACTGGCCCACGGGTCACTGCCACAGGACGGGCCCAGCTTGGACTGGCCCACGGGTCACTGCCATGGGACGGGCCCGGCTTGGATTGGCCCAGGGGTCGCTGCTGTGGGACGGGCCCAGCTTGGATTCCAAGCAGGAGGGATTCTCACAGCCGGCGTCACGATGTCGATCCCCACTGGACGAGGACCTTAGAGGCGAGCCTCTGTCAGCCCAGCTCGGCTGGACGATGCATCGTCCCGGTACAAAGTCCCAGGCTGGGGGTGGGACTTAACGGACAGGAACCTCTGGGCTACAAAAACGCACGGACCCTCCCGCTTAGAAAACCCCACCGCAATTTGTCAGGACAGACAGACGCTAGTCTGGGCAGAGGGTGGCAGGGGGCCTCTCCTGCAGGTGCCTTAGAGGGGCCGGTCCTGGTTGTGACAGCAGATGGGCACTGAATTAGGCGAGGCTGATGGAACCGGGTCCGTATTTTGCTGCCCTATTGTTATTGTGATCAGCAACCCACCAGCCCTCCCGAGGCCACCGACTTCCTACCGCTAGTGACAGCTGCCGTCAGGGGCCCTCACCTATCATCTGGGCGATGGTCTTTTCATATTCAGCCACGATCTTCCTGGAAGGAAAGGAGACGGCCATTTACACAGGGCAGGCTTTGGTTTGTATCTGCATGGTGCTCCGTGGCTGGCCCGTGAGTTGCCAAGCAGGCTTCGTAAAGGCTTGGGAACCGAACTGACACACGTCAGTTCCAGAGGCAGCGCGGATGCAAAACTGGTGCCTTCATCCACATCCGCAAAAAGGAGCCTGGATATTCATGGCCACAGACGCGGATGCCCATGGATAGAAAGCGGATCCCTGCGGATCTGCAGGGCTCTCATAGTCTGAAACTCTATGTACAGAAAAGACATAAAAAACAACCCATAGTCTGGCAGCACCTTAAAGACTAACGACCATGCCAATGGGATCATGAGCTTTCGTGGGCAGCTGCTACCAGACTATGGGTTGTTTTTTACGTTTTTCCTGTTACGGACTAACTCGGCTGCCCCTCTGGATCTCTAGGTACGGCCACTGAAACAGCTTGAGTTCTCTCAATCCCCTCCTCACCTCTCCAGTCACTCCTGTCTTCCCCTCCCGCCTGCCTGGCCTGGCCTTCCCCGGGGCTCACAGACACGCACAGGGAAGGACAGACAGTTCGGTTCCCACCCTGAGCGTGCCTCTGTGTGTGCACTCACTGCCACCAGTGCCCAGCAAACCACGCGCGTCACCAGGGGAGAGCGGCACAGACAGCCCCCGGCGGGGAAACGCCAGGGGAGGAAGTGGGGGGTGAACACCTCGTCGCTCAGAGCTGCTGCAGAGTTTTACCTCATTTCCAAGACTTCTTGTCGGCTCCCTTCATACTTTTTCTTCCATTCGTTGGCTTCGATCTCCTTAGTGATGATCTACAGCGCAGTGGGAACAAACACAACCTCTGACTCCCGCCTCCGGACACACGGACTGGCTCCCGGGATGTGGGGCTAGTCTGAGGCTGAGCGCGTGTTGTGTGAATTGGCTCGGGCCTACAATACAGTCAGAGGCATTCAGTCCAACCACTCCCCATGCAAAACCCTAATGGTCTGATATCTGGGCCAAAAGAAATCTGATGAGGTTCCACAAGGACAAGTGCAGAGTCCTGCCCTTGGGACGGAAGAATCCCAAGCATTGGTACAGGCTGGGGACCGACTGGGTAAGTAGCAGTTCTGTAGAAAAGGCCCTGGGGGTTACAGTGGATGAGAAGCTGGAGATGAGTCAACAGGGCGCCCTTGTAGCCAAGAAGGCTACTGGCATATTGGGGTGCACTAGGAGGAGCATTGCCAGCAGATCCAGAGAAGTGATTATTCCCCTTTATTCGGCTCGGGTGAGGCCACATCTGGAGTATTGTGTCCAGTTCTGGCTGCCGCTGCCCACCCCACTACAGAAAGGATGTAGATGCATTGAGACGGCAACCAAAATGATTAAGGGCTGGAGCACATGACCTACGAGGAGAGGCTGAGGGATTTGGGCGTATCTAGTCTGCAGGAGAGAAGAGCGAGGGGGGATTTGATAGCAGCCTTCAATTCCAAGTTCCAAGAAGGCTGGAGAGAGGCTGTTCTCAGTGGTGACCAATGGCAGAACAAGGAGCAATGGCCTCAAGTTACAGTGGGGGGAGGTCTAGGTTGGATATAAGGAAAAAGTATTTCCCTAGGAGGGTGGGGCAGCACTGGAATGGGTTCCCAAGGGAGGTGGTGAAGTCCCAGCACATGTGGTGCGCTGGCATCTGTTCTGCTCCCTTCAGAGTTAATAACCATTCAGCTGCGTGTGGTGCATGTGCACTCTATGAATACTTGTGCTCTTTCCGAGAGCCCTGGCCGGGTGATTGAGTCGGGTTGGTCCTGCTTTGGGCAGGGGGCTGGGCTTGATGCCTCCTGAGGTCTCTGCTGCCCTGGGGTTCTAGGATATTAACTGGGGATGGCTCTTTAGGAGATTACCAGCAACCGGCCTAGATTTAATCTGCATCCCAGTGCTGGCTGGACAGGCTCAGCGCCAATTGCAGACGTGCACGAAGCGTTTCCACTGCCCACGGGCCTGTCACTGGACGCAGACGCGGCGAGCGGGGCCCTGGCTGCCCCAGAGCCCCTCGCCGCACGACACAGCGGGGGGGGGGGGTTACAGTAAACGTCTCTTAATTACGCTCCCAGCCAGAAAACTCCCCCGCTCACTTCTGCCACGAGACGATGGACTTGTGAGCCAGGGGCGGGGGCTCTATCGCCCGGCAGGCACCTTCCGCAGGCCAGGAGAGCGGCTGGGCCGATAGCAGGGGCACCCAAGAGGAACCAAACCACAAGGAATTACAGGCCACGCGCACGTGGTGCTGGATGACACAAAATCCAGCCGGGATGCCTTTCAGGAGGCGCAGAACTCCAGGCCGCATGCAGGGTAAGGGGGTGAAACTGGGACGGCCTGTGCTACGAAGAAGGTCAGACTAGACCCCCCTCCCCTCCTAGCCCTGAACTCCAGGGGCACCCAAGAGGAACCAAACCACAAGGAATTACAGGCCACGCGCACGTGGTGCTGGATGACACAAAATCCAGCCGGGATGCCTTTCAGGAGGCGCAGAACTCCAGGCCGCATGCAGGGTAAGGGGGTGAAACTGGGACGGCCTGTGCTACGAAGAAGGTCAGACTAGACCCCCCTCCCCTCCTAGCCCTGAACTCTACGA